GTTACAACAGCCAAGTTACATAAAAAAGTTGGCGGAAAACTATTAGTGACTCTCTATACAGCACGGATAATTTTGTTGTTTCTCGGGTGTTAGCACGTCTAAGCTATATCAAACAGAAGGTTCCACTTTTAACATGCAGTATGAAATAATCTTTGGTTAAAAAAAAATCAATATCTGTCGTAAAATAAGAGAAATATAACGTCAAAGTAAGTCAAAAACGCACGTCTTTTTACTGTTGTGTTTTCTAATGAATGCAGTGATTTTGAATAACTGTATTTACATTACACGACATCAAAGTTTCCACAACATTTCATTTGTTTGCAAACAAAAAAATAAACACAGAGGAATGCGTTTACTTTGACTTTTATATCAATTATTTATTCGTATTATAAAAAGGATCATTCGCTCGCAAAAAATTCAAAAACTTGCCTCCTCTGGTAGGATCTAACCCACAATGCTCTCTCTATATATTACGGTGTGATTTTAGCCACGATTATACTTTAGGTTCATTACAAGTGTTTTCTTATAGCAAAGCCACATTGGTCCATCTACTGAGTCCATCGAACGAACTCGAATCCCTGATTTTAACAGTGTAAATCCAAAGACTTAACGCTGTCCCAGGGGTGGACAGGTTGCATACAAAGCACACGTGTTTCTAAACATGAACCTCACCAAGCTGATTGAATGTGGCTTTGTTTGGAAAGAATGTCCAAATACGTCTCCTCACAAAAAGTGGGCAGTAGTAGCCACACACGAATATATTGGTTTGGCACCCAACAGCCAAAACTTGTGATATTAAACGCACAGTTCAGGTATCACTGTATTTACTAAGTTTGTGAAATACTACCAAGTTCTAAAAAAATCCAGCCATGTAAATATAGAGAAAAAAACACACCACCCAAGTCAGAACAAACAATTGAGGTAACCCTGTAATCTACTATTACTTTTATTATTAATAGTAGTGTTATTATTATTACTATAAGACGTGCAAAATCGTTCAAACTGCAACTCTTATCTTCATGTGCTGGAATCAAACACAGAAGATAATTGTTTGGTTGTTTGTTTTGAATTTCGCGCATAGCTACACAAGGGCCATCTGCGCTAACCGTCCCTAATTTAGCAGTGTAAAACTAGAGGGAAGGCAGCTAGTCATCACCACCCACCACCAACTTTTGGGCTACTCTTTCACCAACGAATAGTGGGATTGACCGTCACATTATAACGTCCCCACGGCTGAAAGGACGAGCATGTTTGGTGTGACTGGGACCCTCAGATTGCGAGTTGAGCGCCTTAACCACCTGGCCATGCCGGGCCTCACACAAGATAAGATACAAAAACTGGAGAATTGTTTTTAGTTTTGTTCTGTTACTTTACATTTTTCTTAGATTAAAATGATACCGACTCCCTCTTTCCAAAACATATTTCCTAGCTATATTGCTGGTGTTCACCAATGATTTAAATAATTTCTTTCGTTGAAGTGGGGCCCCAGAAACAAAAACAACTGATATACGGAAAAAACAAATTACTGGCCTTAAAAAATTTTTTCAGTTGAATTATTTTGTCTTACAGATAATAAGATATTAGAAATATATCTAAATAGTGAGTGTTTAGTTGTTTCCAATTAATATAATAATTAATGCAACACCGTGTTTATGTTTGAATTTTATATAACAGTATATCATATTAAATATCAACGAATTATGTGAAATGTTAGGTTCTGTTATTATTTTTCTAGAAAAAAGCTGTTGAAAATTTGATACAATTTTCCATTGATTCAGAAATTATATCACCAACAGATAAAAAAACACAAAAAAAACTAGTTTATATTAAGTAGCAGTTGAGAATGTGCGCACAATATATATATATATATATACTGATATAATTATTAAGCACGTCTTAGTAGAATTTACACAATGAATAAATATTTACATCCATAACCCGGTGTTACTGTCATATAAATCATCCATTCTACCATGTATGGCTGGCTAAATAGGACTATAGCAAATAATCTCATTAAATCGTGTCGTTAACAACAAGAAGTTTTTCTCTCGTTTTTTTAAATGTATTAATGTACTGAGCGTTTAAACACCATGAAATTGGCTTACTTTGACCACGTTGTTAGATAAAATCTTATTTCCCTGTTTTTGATAAACTAATGTATAAAATCTGGAAAGTCTAATTGACCCTTTCCCGATTGCATTGTAAACGGACGACGTTCTGGTGTTTACATTGAAACCTTCTTGCATTATAAGTGGACATCGTTGTAGTCTCTACACCGAGGCCCGCGTGCAGTGAAGATGGACGATGATCTTGCCCGACACAGGGGTCTGATTTTAATGGAGAGGTGGACGGTGTTCCGTTCTATACATTGAATTCTGCTTGAAGTGAAGGCGGAAGGTATTTTCTCACTACAGTGAGGTCTGGTTTTGGTAGAGTTGGTTGACGTTTTTCTCTCTTCACTGTTTATACTGGAGAACTGGACGACGCTCTGGTCACTACAATGTGGAGTGATTTCAGTAGAGAAATGGACGACGTTTCACTCTCTATACGTCTTAGTAGACATTGAATATATATTGACATGCATAACCCAGTGTTACTGTCAAATAAATCACCAATTCTACCATGTATGGCTGGCTAAATAGGACTATAGCAAATAAACTTATTAAATTTACTTGCTTACAGTGAAGATAGACGATATTCAGTTCTCTTCACTGAGACTTGCTTACAGTGAAGATAGACGATGTTCAGTTCTCTTCACTGAGACTTGCTTACAGTAAAGGTAGACGATTTTCAGTTCACTACACTGAGACTTGCTTACAGTGAAGATAGACGATGTTCAGTTCTCCACTCTGAGACTTGCTTACAATAAAGGTAGACGATGTTCAGTTCTCCACGTTGAGACTTGTTTACAATAAAGGTAGACGATGTTCAGTTCTCTACACTGAGACTTGCTTACAGTGAAGATAGACGATGTTCAGTTCTCCACACTGAGACTTGCTTACAGTAAAGATAGACGATGTTAAGTTTTCTACATTGAGACTTGCTTACAGTGAAGATAGACGATGCTAAGTTTTCTACATTGAGACTTGCTTACAGTGAAGATAGACGATGTTAAGTTCTCTACATTGAGACTTGCTTACAGTGAAGATAGACGAGTATCATTTCTCCACGTTGAGACTTGCTTACAGTAAAGATAGATGATTATCAATTCTCCACGTTGAGACTTGCTTACAGTGAAGGTACACGATGTTCAGTTCTCTACTTTTAAAATCTGTTTACAATAAAGATGAACGACATTCCTTTCCCTACTCTGTATTCTGTTTCCAGAGGAAAGGTGGACAACGTTCTGGTCTCCAACTAAGGTCTGCTTTCGATGAAGTTGTACGACATTCTGTTTTCGACACAGAACTCTGCTTTCTGTGGAGGTGAGTGGCATTTTGTTCTCTGCACTGAGTCTTTCTTACATGTGGGCGACATTCACTCTCTATACTGAGTCCTCTTGTAGCGGAGGTAGGCGTCGTCCCGTTCTTTATACCGAGTCCTGTTTGCAGTGTGGGTGGCCAACGTTCCGTTTTTATACTGAGTCCTGTTTGCACTGGAGGTGGATGATGTCCCATTCTTTATAATGAGTCATGCTTACAGGGAATGTGGTTAACGTTTATTTTTCTACAGTGAGTTCTGCTTCCAATGAAGAGATTGGCAAATTTCTTGTTCCTACACTGAATCCTAATTGCAGTGTAAATGGATAACATTCGGGTCTTTACAATAAGTCCTGTTTACAGTGGAGGTTGGCGACGTTTCGTCTTCTACAATGAAGTCTGCTAAACCTCAACGTCTTATCTCACCAAGTAGGTCTATTTCAAACTGCAGCCATACAATTCTACCCATTTGTGAATTCAAACAAAACCAAATATATCATAACTAAACAAACACATTCTTATATATATCACACATATTTCTTTTAACCTCTTTTGCTTACGCATGTTCATGAATATATATATATATATATATATATATATGGACACTTTTATATTCGTCTGTTAGTTAATACATCCATGCGTGAAACCGTCCATTTATGCATCCATCACCCATCCAAATTTAGGCTTACCATTTTTACTTAGAATATTTGAGAATTATCATTAAAATATGGATATATGAGATAGTTTCATTCAGCAGATCGTTTTGATGTGTTTTTCTTTTATAATATCCACGTTCTTGGAGGTGGATTACTTTTTTTTTTACTAATCAGGTATAGTTGTGTAATTACAAGCTTAAAATCTGGCGAATATCTACATAAGAATGTGGTTTTCAAAGTACTATTGATGGAAGAAGCTTGTTACACCACAACTCTTCATTATGTTCTGAGTATAAACATTTTCGCCTAAATTAATCACAGCAACGTTTGAAATTCGACTACTTACTGAGAAAATATAGTTCACTATGTCAAGTACACAAGTCTAAATAATTGTCGAACGTATAGACACCATCGTTTAAGGTTTGTTATTAAACATAAACCTATATTCTTGAATTAACAAAAACAAATATCCGAAAGATAACGGCAAACTGTTTCGAACAGGTGAAGGTGTAAAACGTTAGACTTAAGAATACCTAAAGAAACATACATTTGTTAGCCAATATATGAAGGTGTAAAACGTTAGACTTAAGAATACCTAAAGAAACATACATTTGTTAGCCAATATATGAAGGTGTAAAACATTAGACTTAATAATATACCTAAAGAAACATACATTTGTTAGCCAATATATGAAGGTGTAAAACGTTAGACTTAAGAATATCTAAAGAAACATACATTTGTTAGCCAATATATGAAGGTGTAAAACATTAGACTTAAGAGTACCTAAAGAAACATACATTTGTTAGCCAATATATGAAGGTGTAAAACATTAGACTTAATAATATACCTAAAGAAACGTACGTTTGTGAGTCAATATATGAAGGTGTAAAACATAAGACTTAAGAGTACCTAAAAAAACACATACCTTTGTTAGTCATTCAGTAGACGACAGACAGTTCGAATTGTTTGTCTCTAGCTCACATGCCGGCTAACTGCTGCAGGCCACAAGAGCAGATATAAAAAACTCACCTTTTCACGCCTGCGCATTACTACACATATCATTGGTGGTATTACAATAGCCCGTCTTATGCTTTGCCGTATATATATATATATATATATATATAAACATTATACTGCTATAATTGCCAAAGTTTACCATTTGCTATTGGGAGGAATGACATTTTCTACTTAGATGATCAAGTAGTAGGAATTTATCCACAAGTTCTTTGGTTGGTACTGATATACCTGTTTTCTATGTTACGTTATATCACATTAACATCAAGTAGTCTATTATTGACATGTTCTTTCGTTGATATTGATATACCCGTATTCTATGTCACGTTATACTACAATAACATCAAGTAGTATATTATCACCATGTTGTTTGATTGATACTGATATACCTGTTATCTATGTTACGTTATATCACATTAACATCAAGTAGTCTATTATTGACATGTTCTTTCGTTGATATTGATATACCCGTATTCTATGTCACGTTATACTACAATAACATCAAGTAGTATATTATCACCATGTTGTTTGATTGATACTGATATACCTGTTATCTATATTTCGTTATACCATATTAACATCAAGTAGTCTATTATTGACATGCTGTTTTCTATGTTACTTTTAACAGTTTTTTTATCATAGACTCCTAACTTACATTATCAGTTTTATTTTTTACTTTTTATTAATCTTGGATTCTCAACTATTGCCATCTAGTATTAGTGTTTGGAATTATATATATATATATTAATATATCCATATATTTTACAAACAATAATTTGGAACTTAACGTGGTCACTATTTTCCCCATTACATGCCACTTAATTAGCTCTAACGGATACTCACACATTTTACTTTATTACACATATTTTTGAAAAACTTACAATGCGTGTAATTCTAACTTTTAGTTAACTTAATGTTTAAACGGTGACAAAGCTGTATTATGATTAGTCAGAATCAACGTGATTTTTTCATTATAAAGAAGTTTGTTGACTTTTCACGCCAAGCAACTCGAGTGATATAGGCGCTAAGCCGTCACCAATTTTGAAGTGATAGACAAGCACCTAGTAAACAATACTCACGGATGACTCGAATCGAAGAGTGAAATTTGAGAGTCGCTCTTATAACACATACGAAGTTCAGAGCGCGATTTTTTAGGCGGTAATAAGGCGCGAACTCGGAACTTTGGATTCCTAGGACGTTAAAGTTTGCTTTTTCATTTTAGCTCAAAGCAACATAATATGCTATCTGCGCTCTGTTCAACGAGGTATAAAACTCCGGATTTTAACGTTATAAGTATGTAAATTTATCGTTGACCTACTGGGGGGGAATTTGAGGAGACATTAAAGAAATAATTACTACATTATTTTCATTGGTATAATATCAACTAATTAATTGAAACGAAATAACAATAAACGTTGACTGCTTGAATTAAGCAATAATTTGAATGCTGTTAAATATTTTTTTTTCCTTAAGTAGTCAAGCTTACAGATAGTGAAAGGTAAATTCTCGAAAACTCACACAGTTGTATGAGCTGTTGAATAATGGTACAATAAATCCAAGAACTTTTTAATTTATATAGACTTTATTGTGTCAAATGTTCGCTGATCTTACAATGTTACAAGGCCAAAATATTTTCCTTTACACAGATTGTATTATGTCCAATGTTCAAAAACATTATAATAAAGCCAATATATTTTCGTTTTGATAAAACTAAAGTTCAATAACGTCACTATCAAGTCAATATCTTTTTTGTCTTGCACAGAGTGTATTATGTCTTGTGTTCAAAAATGTTATACTAAAGACAAGATGTGTTTGTTTTACACATAATGTATTGTGCCTAGTGTTCAACGATATTATAATAAGCCCAATAACCTTTTATTTTGCACGGTCTAAAGTTTAACAATATTATAATAAGATGAATATGATTTTGTTTTGCACAGGCTGTATTGTCACTACTATTCAATAATCTTCCATACTAACAAAACAGTTTGTGTGTCAGTCAGTCAACCCCATAACTCTAAGAGATCTGAAACTTTGCACAGATACTAAAGGAATTCTGAGGGTGTGCACATGGGTATTATTTTTATTATACACGACTTTTCTCTGCGTTAAAATACTTTTTTATTTGCGAGCTTTCGGCCTTCTTACCTGAGCCTTCATCGGGCAACAAATGCACTCGACAACAACTTATGGGGCGATAAAACTCTGTTTAAAATAGGTATCTAGGCTACAGTTGTAACAATAATGACATCTGGTATTAAATTTATTAAATATATAGAATTAAAATGAAGATAGAATATAAATCTATAGCTTCGATATAATAAACATGAAGAAAATACAATTATAGATGTTATGTCGAGAAAAAATAAAGAAATATGTAATTTTACACTGAAACCACAAAGATACCGTGTTTGTGTAAGTTTCTAAATATTGTCTTTGATTCTAAATTACGAAGTACATTGTTTGTTTTGGAATTTCGCGCAAAGCTACACGAGGGCTATCTGCGCTAGCCGTCCCTAATTTAGCAGTGTAAGACTAGAGGGAAGGCAGCTAGTCATCACCACCCACCGCCAACTCTTGGGCTACTCTTTTACCAACGAATAGTGGGATTGACCGTCACATTATAACGCCCCCACGGCTGAAAGGGCGAGCATGTTTGGTGGGATGCGGATTCGAACCCGCGACCCTCAGATTGTGAGTCGAGCGCCTTATCCACCTGGCCATGCCGGGGTCAACCACGCGGAATCGAACCCCGGATTTTAGCGTCGTATGTCCTTAAACTTACCATTGTCCCACTGGGGGACACGTATTAGAGAGTGTAGTGGTTTCATAGGATACTAACGATGATAATAGGTTAGGTTATTTTAGTCTCTAGTATCCCGCTTGAAGTTTATCTTTTCACTACGAACAGTAATTTTTCCTACATGTTCAAAATAGAACCAATCTTAATAAGAGTTATTTAATTTTTATATTCAACAAAGGATTACATTTCGAGTAACTTGTTCCAGATCACCACCTAATCTTTTGTATCTGATATGTGCTCAGTATAAACATTATAATATCTGTGGGCATGCCGAGTTATTCTACATCTCAACAACTGATCTAGGTTACTATATGATATCTTTTAGGTCGAGTTAGGGATTTCCTTCTCAACAACTGCTCTAGGCCTTTATAAGACCTATTTGTAGTCTGAGCTAGAGCTCTAAATCTTAGCAATGATCTTGGAAACCATAACACTACTTGTATGCTGATTTAGAGTCCTCTTATTTAACATATGCTCTAGATTATTATAAGATTTGTTTGTATTCCAAGTTAGAATTCTTTATCTGAACAACTGATCTATGTCACTATATGACTGTTTGTATTCCAAGTTAAAATTCTCCATTTTAAAAAATACCGCTTTGGATTAATATAATGATATTTGTACATTAAGGTAGAGCTCTCCATCTCAAAACTATCCTAAACTGCTATGAGACCTCTTCATGTGATAAGTTAGGGATCTCCATATCAAGAATTGCTCTAGATTACTGTAAAAACCTCTTGGAATATAAATTTGTGATTCTAATATCGACAGAACTGCGTTGAGTAACTACTGAATTAATTTTATGAGTCTTATAAAAGCGGAAATGTTTTAATATCATAGTTAATCCGCTACATAAAAGATTAAGAGCAAGAGAAGCCTTGCGTAGCCTGATGGTTAGGAAGCTTGGCTCGCAATCTGAGGTTCACGGGATAGAAACTCGTCGCCCTTTCAGCCTTGTTGTCTTTATAATGTTACGATCTATCCCATTATTCGTTGGGAAAATATTAGCCCAAAAGTTGGCGGTGGATATGTTGATTACCTGTATTCTATCAGCTCAAAATTAAGGACTGTTAGCACGGATATCTTCGAGCAGTTTTGCTCAAAATTAAACACAAAAACAATCTAAGAGTAATGATTTTTCAAAGTTTTGTAGGGTCGTGATAGTAGGTGCAGAGTTTTAAAGATAGGACCATAACTAAACATAGATACAAATGCTACATTGGTCTAACTAGTTTTATAAGTACAGGACCCTTACCTCGACAAACAATCAATCTGTGCTGTACATCATAAAGAAATTTTCTGAAATCAAGGCTTTGATCAATAACTTTGTTCTGCCGGCTATGAGCGTAATAACAAACCGTTTTTATGGTCAACACTTATGTGTGGTTGGACATATCAATACTATACGCTGTTAAACACAGACAATGACAATCATACATATGATCTTGGACTTTTATAGATTGAAGACGTGCGATCAGTACAGAATTTTGAAGGTGAAACAGATGATTTGCAAAAACACAGTTACAATAATAAAACTGTTTAACACAGTTAGGCCTTGTCCTGTCTTTACACCCTGAAACCACAAATTACAAAACAGTATTATATTATTTTAGATGTAATTTTGAGCTTATCGAAGTTTTGTCAGCATTATTTGTCCCGAAATTTACACATTTTTAATATGAAATCACCAGAATAAGAGATGTTTAAGTAGTCACATTCTCAAAAACATGCATGTGTAAGCTACCAAGACAAAAAAGAAAAAATTCTCTGATGTTACGATTGCGCCACATAGTGTTAAAGTTGCTAAATAAAAGGCAGAATTCCGCATTGCAAACATTCATAATTTAAAAGCATTCTCCAAAACCTCTTCGTTTTTATATAAATTACTCTTAATTTTTACACCAATAACTGTAGGTCCGAACGTCATACTTTTCAAACCTAGTTGAGATTATAAAACATACTATTGACATAGGGGCGTAGCCAGAGTAAAAAGAAAAAATGTGGGTCACCACTGGCTTTTAGTTCCAAAAGCATTTGTGACAAGTGCGTTAGGGACGGTTTGTTTGTTTGTTATGGATTTCGCGCAAAGCTACACAAGGGTTATCTGCGCTAGCCGTCCCTAATTTAGCAGTGTAACACTAGAGGGATGGCAGCTAGT